AAAACTGAAAATAGTAGGAAACAGCAAGCCTGTGGTCCTCCACTCATACCTGCTCATTTATGCATGTTCAAATAAGCCTCTTGCCTCCAGTTTCTCGTCATTCTTGTACAATAAACTACCCCCCCCCCCCTCCCCCAATTGCACTTTGAAACAGTATGGGTAATAATCATCACATAAATAATACACATAAAACACAAAATGCCAGGATTTAACTCAGGAAATAACTGTCTCTTGCAGCGGTTTCTCTTTTATTTAACAGGAGTGAGCCCAGACTGTTGCTGAAACAGTTATGGAAAAACGATCAAAGCCTTGTAAGCAAGTTTTTTTTTCAAGAAGCGACAGACTAAGCACCCGAGGATCCTGGGACCTCTGAGCACCCGGCTGCACTGTGTGTGTCCAAAAGGTTTCATAATTAACGTGGATCCAGAGAGTGACTCACTGTCCGGTTACTGTGGAAACCTGACATTAATTGTCCCATTATTAACTTCAAATTACTGGAAGGGCCAGATGGATCCACCACCTTTTTTTCTGCTGTCAAGACAGAGTATGTTGCTAATGTCGCTGTCATGTGGGACTATATAAAAGTAGTTAATGATGAATAGGCTATTATCTGCTGAAAGAGGTGAGCAGTCACAATGAAAAATTTCCAACATTTGGTCATTTTCTGTGGGTTATTGCCCTTTCAAAATCGGCAGTGATTCAGACATCACACCACTCATTTGTGGGTATATAATCATATGAGCATGTCTGCACGTACAAAAGAAGTCACTGACCCTTTGAGTTTGTTGTAGAAGATTGATTGCTGTACAAAGATGAGGCACAGGCTCCACTGACATCTCCATAAAGCTGAGGAAAAAGTAGGGGTAACAGCACAATCCTCCTAAAAGCCACATCTACATGAGTTATTGCAGCTCCAGGAAGAGAGAACACACAGGCTTCTGTGTGTCAGCTAAAAAGAGTTAGGCTGTCTTAACTATTTACCTATCCACCTGCCCCTTGTGCAAAGGGAGAGGCTAAGACATAACGGTAAAGTAAGATTTTTGAAAAATGGCATACAAGGGAATGATAAGCTGTGTTATTTAAATTACTGGCAGTTAGCAAACACAAAAGGAATCTTGTTAGAAGCTTTGGTGTCTGGTTTTGCCGTCAATCTCTGAGTTTAATGGTATGTTTGGATCATTTCTCGGCTCCCTCTGCTCTTTCTTTCATCTCTCCTCTTCTCTCGGCAGCAGACTGCAAACTTCAGTGTTAGTAGCTACTGTTGCTAATAAATACAGAGGGCCTGTAGCCTTCATCCAGACAAAGATCCTCAGGAGAACCTCACAAAAACAAATGGCTACTCTCAATGATGACAACTCACATGATAAAACACTAAAGTTTAAAGTCTTATACGGTGCTTAGGTCTCGACTGAACACAAATGAATTGTGGTAAGAAACAGCTCAGTGTGTATGCTGTCAACATACTTCACTTGAAAGTCTGCAGAGGTATGTATTGTGAACTGCTCTGTGACGGCCTGTGAGTCGTGTTCTGTCCTCCTCGTGTCAGGAGGATGTTGAGAGGTTAAACAGAATCGCATCCAATCTGTCCAAGGACGACCTGCTGGGAAGGTCCCTGCTTAATTTGTCTTTCCACCGCTCTGTTGATTGGCCCTTTGCCATACTTTAAAGTTAATTCTAACAGTCAAAATGTCTCTCTCTCTTTCACCCCTCACTCCTTCTACACTGAGTAGAAGGTAAACAGTACAAAGGATGAAGCGTGTTGCCTTCCAATTTGGCAGTGAAAATGCTGACAATGACAAAGCAGCCCATTATTCAATCAAAGGAAATTTCTCATGCATTTAAATACTTTTAATTAACATGACAAAGTTTGCTTTTTCCATTTTGCTAAATGTGTGCAGCAGGCAAATAAAAAGCTTATTTGGTGAGCAATAATTTTAACAACTGATCTGTAGTTCTTTATCAGATAAGAAAAAAGAAAACAATAAATTAGTATCACAGTCACATTAACAAAGTGTGTATGGATTTTCTTGAGCTTTTGGCCATATCACTGATGAAGAACTCTTCTCTCTTCTGATGAAACAGTTTATGTATATATGTTTTTCAGTTTGCAGTTTTCAGTTTTATTTTTCTCTGAAGTAAAACTGAGCATAAACTCTCTTTTACAAACGAAACTTTGCAGCCATAAAAACTAAAACATAAAAAGTGATCGCCTTAAATGCATCTGAATAGCTATAAAGAATTGATATGCTAAAAAAAAAACAACCTATAATGTAATGTAAGAAGCTACTACAGGACCATGGAATATTGTTGGAAAATCTTATAAAAGGAATGAATCATATGTTTCTTCCAACTACAAAAAGAGACGTCATCATAAATACTGATATAAAACATTGGCCTTTAAAGCTGAGTGACCAGCAATGAGTTGACTTCTTCAAACCTTAAACTTTATCTTGGTTTCCGAGAACGCTGTAATGAAATCCTTGTATTTTAGGTACAAGATGAGTCATCACTCCTTCACAAGCAGTTAATAAGTACATCAGGCACTCTGGGAATCAGACACACCAAGCACCTAATCATAAAGTGGAGGCTCATGACACCAATAAGTGTGAATTTATAAGTGTTCCCTCACTGACAAAGCCTCACGATGTTCTATCAGAGGCTCCAAGTTAAATGAAGTCTGTGCTGCCATCTGCTGTTGATTTCTTCCTAAGCTCTTGTGTCCTATTGATGACACATGCAGAATAATCTTTTTCTCAAGTCAGTCAGTTTATTAATTACAGCTGAAAAATGGAACCACAAAACTTCATTTTCACACCACATTCTAAAAAAACGGATTCTCCTGAAGCACCAAACGATTCGAATCAAACCTTTCCTGTTCAAACACACAGCCAATGAATTTAACAGCATATTGAGCAACATAAAACAGCGTTCAGGACATTTAACTCCAGAAATTCAAAGCAAACAAAATCAGTCCTGCCACCCTCATGTCACCATTTCCGGCAAGTATACAAGAACGCAGGGGTTACAAAATGAGTATGACCTGCGTTTACTGACCACTTTGTAAGGTACACCTGTTTAACTGCTCATTGGCACAAATATCTAGTCAACTAGTCACTTGTCAGCAACTTATAGGGAGTTATATAGGGAATAAAGATGATTTAAGTCCCTTTGATATGTTTGCTGATGCCAGATAGGTCTGAGTACTTCAGACACTCACATTCTGCTGGGATTTTCTCTCTTTTGGCAGCCATCTCTAGGGTTTACAGAGAATGGTCCAAAAAAGAGAAAATATCCAGTGAACAGAAGTTCTCTGGGAACATGCCTTGCTGATGTCAGAGGTCAGATGAGAATGGCCAGAATGCCAGTAGCTCAAATAATTATTTGCTACAACCAAGGCATGGAGAAGATCGTCTCTGAATACACATCACGTTGAACCTTGAGGACCACACTGGATGCCCCTCCTTAAAACAGGAAACTGAGGTTGCAGTTCACAAAGGCTCACCAAGATTGGAAAATAGGAGGTTGGAAAAACATTGCCTGGTCTCAATCTTTTCTGCTGCAAACTTTGTATGGTAGGGTCAGAATGTGGCATAAAAAATGTGAAAGCATGGATTCCTCATAACCTGTATTAATAGTTTAAAGTGGTAGGTATAGGTTAATGGTGTTGGGGATATTTTCTTGTTACACTTGGGGCCCCTTAGTACCAGGTCCATGGTTTTGTGATGAAAGTGTATCTTTTGATGGCTTTGTCCACCATGTCACATCATCTTAAACTGGTTTTGTGAACATGATAATGAGTTCACTGTACTCAAATAACCTCCACAGTCATCAGATCCCAGTCCAGTTTAGCACCTTTGGGATGTGAAGGAATGGAATATTCACAGCTAAACATTCTTGAGCAACTGTGCAATGCTATCATGTTTGCAGCACACTGATAAACAATGCCATGAAGAATTAAGGCATATCTGAAGGAAAAAGGGAGTCTAACCCAGTATTAGCCAACAGTACCTAACAAAGTGACCAGTGGGTGTGTATACAGTATACTGTAACTGTTTTTAACTTCTGGCACATGTGACTTCCATTATGCATCAAGCACAAGCACCCTACTGTGCAAAATGTAAGTGCTCTACAAAAATGAATAAATAAAATCAGCAAGAGTGAGAGTGGTTCATGAGCATTTTGTTCAGGGAATAGTTTTGTGCATTAGTAAGTCAGAAAATGTTAGGCATATTGAATGTTGCTCATATTGCTCATAATTAATAATCCTCAGCACTGAAATACTGGATGAATTATAATGTAGCAATCACACAAGTTTCATAAATATCTAAATACTTCAAGCTCATGGTCTGTTTGGTGAAACTGCATAATGTTTTGTTGTTGTTTTTTTACCAGCACACCAGCACTGCCTGTTTTATACAACTTTTGGTTGGAGGTATGCTCATTCACTGCACCAGAAGCTTAACTTAATTTTATTTTATTTTTTGCAAGGCCCCTTTCCCCCACTCACTCACTCACACACTCACTACTACCAATTTAAATGTTATATATCAACATGTTCTGCTAACTTCACCACCAGTCCTATGCCCTAACTGTAGATTAAGCAGTATTTTCATGTTGCCATCATTTGACCCTAACAATCAGCTTACACAGCTGAAAAAGAGTACCCAGGTGCCATTAATCAACAAGCCCTTCCCTGCTCCTATAAAAGGAGTATCCTGTCTATTCAGTGGACAGCTGCTGTTTTATAAGTACTGGTGAGTGTTTAGCTGTGAATTAAATGTTGGTGTTTGGGCTCCTCCTCGCCCCCTCTCAAGTGGCATAATCTAATTTGTTAAACTGTGCATTTGAAGATTATAGTAACTCTAGTGTCCACACATGTTGCTACCTTTGTTTCAAACAGCATCTCATGTACCACTGCTGAATATTAATTTGACTTAAAACTCACTGAATTCTCTTCTTGGTCATTTTAGTTACTGGTCTTCTTCAAACTTGGGTTCAAGATGTCTGGCCGGGCAAAGAAGGCTGCACCCAAACCAAAATCTGCAGTTTCCCGGTCTTCCAGAGCTGGAATTACTTTCCCAGTGGGCCGCATTCACAGGTTGCTCAGGAAAGGCAACTACGCTCAGCGGATTGGAGTTGGTGCCTCTGTGTACATGTCGTCTGTCCTGGAGTATCTCTGTGCTGAAATCCTGGAGCTGGCGGGAAACGCCAGCCGTGACAACAAGAAGTCACGCATTGCTCCCCGGCACATCTTGCTGGCAGTGAAAAATGATGACGAACTCAACAAGCTGCTGGCAGGGGTCACATTCTCAGATGGTGGTGTGATCCCAAATATCCAGGCAAGCCTCCTGCCGAAGAAGACAAAAACACCAAAGGATGACAACTCTGCTAAAGATGTCCAGTCACAAGAGTTTTAATTATAAATGGTACCACTTTTAGAAAGGGTTTTAATGATAATAAAGTGAGTTTCTATCATTTGCTTGTATTCAAACATTTTGAGCTATCCAACTGGGTGTGTGTGTGTGTGTGTGTGTGTGTGTGTGTGTGTGTGAATTTTCTTTTTTTTTATGTTAAAACCTTGACAGCCAGGGAACCAGATGTCTTGATGGCAGCTGGATAGAGTAGTGCAAATTTCTCTGAATGCTAAGGAAGTGTGCTTCATTTCCTACTACTGTAGCCAAGAAGGGTTCATCCTCTGAACAAAAGGGACCTTACTCGCACTCCGCCGTGTACAGGGTACTGATTTAGCTCCTCCACAGGCCCTCTGGAAGTCTTGCAAAATAAGTTTCAACACATTCTTGGATGTTTTTTAGCTTAACACTACTCAGGTTTTGTGAAATATTCAGACAACCGTGACAGTTTTACCCAGCATCTTTTCATGGTGGGGTGGGGTATGTCAAAAGGGACACCTACCTAGTTTACAAGTCCAGTTGAAGGTTGGAATAAATCATCCAAATTAGAAACCTGGTGTGTAAAATTAGCCTTGATGACTTATTATAATTCATAATTGCTTCCTGCTAAGAACTGGGGTTCAAGCCTCACTCCAGTTCTTTATAGTTAAACTAGAAATAACCAGAATGGTGATTAGACTAGGTCATTGGTGCATCTGCTGGACGATGGTATTCCTAAATGACTCTGTTTCCTGATGCAGTTTGGTGTGTTTGTGCTGTACATGTTGTGGGCTAAATTCTTGCCCCAGAAACTAAACTCACCTTAAAAATACAAAAAACTGACTGCCTGTCGACATCCTTGTTGATTGCAGATAGTATGTCAGCCTGTCTGGGCTGGCTGACATAAAACAAAGTACTCCCACGTTCCCTTGAATCAAGATTCTCAGTATCCTTGAGTTTTTCCTGTCTACTAACTTCAAGGAATCCTTGCATTTGTATAGTTTCATATGGAAGGGCAAAAAATTATATGCACTATAAAAAAAATCAAACATTCTATTTGGATGGGAATTTTTAAGCAAAACACTCGTTAACAAGACGTGAGGATTTTCCACTCAAACTTTAAAATATTGTCGTTTTGCAACCCTCTATAGACACAGACGTTATACACGTGTATGTCTGCTCTTGTAACGTTGCGTCTGTTGGACGTACCCTAACGACGTGCTGACGTAAGACGTGTGAACAACAAACAGTTGTTGGACTTCAACAAGCTAGCGAAGGATAACGCTAGAGGAGAACAGGTTGAGCCTGCCTTTTCACGGAGAGAGAGACGCTTACGAAATCCGGGCGGTCGGGATATTTTATACATTAACTCCTAATAACTAACAGCGTTGGTACCGGCACGTGTAACCCGGCACAGTTCCCTCGTGCTAATGTTAGCAACACAAACATGCTCATTGCTGCTCGGAGTGTGACGCCTGTTTTTTTCCTGGCTGCCGCTGGTCGAGGGCTGTGATGCGAGCAGAGTTGCTGCACGGCAGAGGGTGAGACGGAGCTACAGTCGGATTATATTCGTCTTGACACAGAAAATGGACTTTCTCGGGGAGAAACAGACGGGGTCACGCAAAAAAGCGGGCATGCGACCGCACACGGGCCTGGATGTCATTGTTGGTCAACAACTTTAGCCCGCTAGCGAACGTTAGCTTGCTTTAATTCATGTAGATGAATTGGGTTTGTTGTCGGGCAGTAATCTCACTTTGCTAGCGTAATGGAGGCACCCTGAGTGACTTGTTTGTTTCAATTGATTGTCCTGCTCTTCTTAAATACTACTGGCAATGTGTTGAAGACCGGGGAGCCTTTCGTCGAATAATAGGACACGGTTGGTAAGAATTATTGAATGGTGAATACCTGCACGAGTCATAGTTGAGCGAAGTTCTCTACGATTATGAATTATTACTGTAACAGTATCTATTTCACGCAGGTATAGCATATTTCTATTATTGATAGTTGTGTGAAATTGCACTTTATTTGGCCGATTTTTAAGTATGCACCGCAGCCACCTTTAAATTGGGGTTTATCGACATCTATAATTCAATCACCCCCTGATGTAAAAAATCAGCACTTGTATAGAAGTTGGTAAATAAAACGTCAAGATAGGTCTTTATCTGCGTATATTGTTATGAGCCAGGGCAAAGACAGCCTTATCCATGTCATTTGGTTCCTAGTCACTGTTTAACCCGAGATCCCAGCTGTTCGGCACAGTTAAAGACTGAGTTTTACTGGAAATGAAAGCATGAATATCGAAGAGCAGTGTCTAGATTTGTGCAATGTCAAGATGAAAAACAATGTGGACGATGATCATAACACTACTAACAATACAGAAGGGGTTATCCCTCGGATCTCCGAATTGATGACTGACAGCAACACAGAAAAACAAAGCATTGTTCCTACGGAGGCCTCTGAAACTTACCTGATGCCTCAGCTCACTGACAACCTTCAGGCAGCAGAGGAGAACAACCAGCAGGCACAAAACACAGTGGAAATTGATGAGGTCAATGGAAATGGAAAGAATAGTGCCCAGGACCCACTAGCGGTCGTGAACCCGACTGATTTTATCTTTTCTAATAGTGAGCAGCACGAGGAGAAAATGAAGGAAGATAAGGACAATAATCCTGCAAAGCTTGTTCTTGAAGAAGGGGATGATGGTGGGGACATGGACATAGGTGTGGATCTGAGTCTCGATGAGAGTGGGGTGCTGGAGGCTGAATCTGTAAATGTTAGATCACAGTCAGACAGTAATTTAGACTCAGTGTCCACTCCTCAGGATGTCCCAGCTGGCAGCACGACAGAAAGCCAGGCTGATGCAAGCCAGACATGCAGCATAGAAGCTTCTGCCACAGATCCAGCTGGATTGTATCCCTCAGTGCAAGAGGGGGACACTAAACACAAAAGTGGCAAAAGGGTGACATTTCCCTCTGATGAGGATATCATCTCTGGAGCAGTGGAGCCAAAGGACCCCTGGAGACACGGTAATTCTTGTTTATTTTTTTCTACATGTTTGAATGTGTGATTGAGTTAGTTCTGCGTGTCTGTTGCGCCTGCATGAACATGTCAACATACTGTGGTTTGCTGGAATTTATTCTTAGAAGGCTTTTTAACAGAATTTGTCCCTCAGCTCCATATGGAGCAGTTGACTCTGTCCACATGTCCTGTCATGCTGCTAAATTTCCCACATATTCTTCAACATTATCGAGTAGATGTTGACACTGATGTATGTAAGGCGTGCCAGAGCACTGGTCTTAGAGAAGAATGTTCTTTTGTTCCTTTCTTCAAAGCCTGACAACTCTTGCAGGTTCACACTGCTGTCTGTTTAGTGCTTAGGCAACACCTGCACTCCCGCCCCATTTTCAAACTAGAAGATCAGTACTTTGATTACTTGTATAACTAAATAGCTTTATCTGGCTTTACCCCCACAGAGGTGTACCATATACAGTATAGACCAGGGTATGTACTGTATTCACTATTGTGACGGAGTCCCACCACACCTTGAGGTGTGCCATTTTTACCACAGCAGGTTCCTGTTTACCCAGTGAAAACATGTTTAGGGAAGCTAATGAAGGACACGACGCCACCTATTGCATCACCTTTAAGTATTTTAGTGTTGAAAGTTACAAGGAAATATGTTTTCACTTTTTATTGTCCATATGTGATATGGATATACAATGTAATATACAATAAATGTAATGTTATGCTAATTTATTTTAACTGAAGTACTCGTTTCAATTTATTGCTGTTAACTGTTCCAGTATTACCAGGTCTAATTTGCAGTCTAGTTCTTTTTATACTTATTTGTACAGTGCAGTTTTTTTCCCTCTTTTCATTTAAAGAAAAAGAAATCTATCATGAACTAACCATGACTCACACACTTTTTCATCTGCTGTGGACAAAGGATGCCGTTTAATTAACAGTTCTACAAGCTGGTGTTTGCTCCCAGCACTGTGACGGCATTTGGCATAGTTACACAGGTGACTGCCTCCTGAGAAGATGACAAATTGTGTTAAGCTTACTAGTAGCCTTACGATCTCAGTTTGTTTGTGCCATATTCACATATACTTAAAGGCTAAGCTGGTGGCTATTCTATTTATTTTTCCCTGCAAAAATGTAGGCCAGACCAAGCAACGGTTGGTGATCCGGGGGGTAACAAAAGCACAAAAACAGGAAGCTTACTGAGCACAAACATTACTGTCTCGTATTCAGCTGTATTTTAATTGTTTTATTAACACCCCGGTTGCAATTTATCAGGAAGCCACCCAGAAAGTCAGTTTTCTATCACAACATTCATGTCCCAGTGTTACCATTGATTTGATCAGTTTAAAACAAATTGCAGATTTCTCGCACCCATTTCCATGACAGGTTTAATTTAGATGTGATGATTTTTTTTTTTTTTTTTAAGATAATTTCTTTCTTTTTCCTCCTTTTTGCCAGGCAATCGTGCTGATTGTTAACTGGTCATGAATATCTTATGCTGGACTCCATCAGGGAGTCCAGCATAAGATAGCCAAGTTTTTTGTACCTTTATGAAAGATACGATGCACAGTAAAGTATCTAGATCACTGTAGTGTGGGGTTGACTTTTTATCAAAGACAGTTATCATGTACTTTAGGTAGGTTCCAAAGGTCCAGCTGATTGTGCTTTTGATTTAGACATGGACAAGCACTCGAGGTTAGTGAAGTCCTGTTGGAAGTGATTGGACTGAAGAGTTGGAGCAGTGGACTCTTAAACAAAATGTGATAAGCAGTGATAATGATAATTATCTTGTATATAATTGCAGTCGAAAAAGACTGAAAAATTGTTTAAGACTGTCACATGTGGATTTTATTATTTTCATTTTTCATACATGCCATATACAACAGCATGCATCAACCCGCACTTTTGGGAAGTTTAAATTTTAGTGTCACGTTTTATGACATTTGAAGGACATTTGAGCAGAACTGAGAAAGCAGTCAGCAAAAAAAAAAAATTAAAAATGA